TTTATTTATTTATTTTTTACGGCTATTAGCCCATAAAGTATGTACAAACATAAAAGCACAGAGGCATAAAGACTAATATATTCGGCACCAGAAGGTGAACACCATGATGCAGGGGTGGGTCATTGAGCAGAGCCAGATCACAGCTTGGGGCCCGGAGAGCTCCAAGGGACGGATCCCAGAAAAGGAGAACTGAAGACGAGATCCGACATGCACTCTCTTCAAAACTGTCCGATTAGTTTTTGATGTTGTTGTTTTTGGTGGTTTTTGTGTGTGAGATAACTGCATTCAGGAATCTCGCCACCTGCAGAGTTACAGAAGGATCTGTATCCTGCAAAAAGTAGTGCGGCATGTGACTCAGCAGGCCTGCCAACCAAGCGCAGCAAAGCAGGGCCCAGGAATTAAGTCCTGGCTATGCTATGTAGGGGACAGTTGAAAATTATATGTGATAGAGAATCAACAGTTTTCCGGCATCACACGCATAGCGGAGACACCAAACCCTTGGAAAATCTGTGGCTCAGCAGGTTCGATGGAAAGACATTGAACCTTGTACCAATAAATGCATGTCGGTGTGGTACAGATGAAAGAGATGACATGTATGATGGAAGGCCAAGTGGTGAGGTTATTCCGTGATACCTGGGGAGCAGACACCCTCACCCCCGGCGCAGGTTGTGTTGATTTTCAATGTCTGCTAATCTCTGCTCAATAAGTCTTTTGGCTGAGCGTAAGTTCATCTTTAGAGAGTCCGCTGGGGAAATTCCGATGCTCAGAAGTTTGGCATGGATTTTTCCTACCCACGGATTGACAAAGTCGCCCCGCCAGAGGCACTGAAAAAGGTAATGGTTGGGAAGCCTGTGCCAGCTGGACAGCCAATAACCAAAGACTCTGCTCCAGATGACCGTCTCAATGATGCAATCCTTAACTCCAGACGTATGGCTGCATTGCACACACACATGGGGAGTTTCAGGAGGCGACGGAGAAACTGATTCTGCAATGTCCCCAACGATGTTAAATTGGACCCTGGGGCCTAGAGCGGGGCAGCAGTAACAGAGGGTGGAAACCACTTTTGCATGGTACACCTTCAATGCAGAAGGGATGTGGGAGGCTCCGTCGGCCGCAAAAATTGGAGTAGAGTATAAAGTATTGTTTTCCTTTGTTTAGTAAATACTGTATCTGTGGCTTCCAGCTTAGGTTGTAGTGAAAAAAGACTCTCAGGTATTTAAATTTGAAAAACTTGTTCTAATTGGACTCCATCTAACTTCCAGCTGTAAGTTTTCCGAGACCTGGCAAAGACCAGGACTTTAGATTTCCATAATTAATTGTCAGATGGCTTGAGTTTGCAATAAGCCGCAAAAATCTTTAGAGCTCTGCATAAACCGACTCTAGAGTAGGAGAGGATCGCTGCATCGTCGGCATATAAGAGCAGAGGGCAGCGAAAATCAGCTAGGCGGGGGGCATGAATGTTGGCTTGAGACTCATTCAGAAAGAGCTTCATATCGCTAATAAACAAGTTGAAGAGGAGTGGGGCCAAAATGCAACCTTGGCGCACACCTCTATTTATTGGGACCTCGTTATCTATGACAAAAATTCCTTAAGGGAAATATTAATGAAGTATTCAGGTATCATGCTGACTTGTGAGGCACAGAAACGGTTAATGCTGGATGCTCTCCATTTTAAAACAAATTTCTTCCTTCACAATACAGAAAAGATACACTTTGATAATAATTTTCTGTTTAATGATAAATGATTATGAGTTTTGGTCAGGAGAAGGAAGAGTCAGCGGTGAGTAAATGAGCTACCTCTCTCTGAAGGGCTGATAGGTCATAAACCATATCTAGCAGCTTGAGGTAGGTATAAATTGAAAACATTACAAGATTTGATTAGAAATCCTGAAGGCTCCAGCAATGACATAGCTTATTTGGAGAACTTTTCCTTCAAAGAGCGAGTGCAGAATGTTATATAAGCCATGGCTGAATTTAAAATGTGATCTATAAACCATGAAGAACACGAACCGCAACCAGGGTGGATCTACTATGAAACTAATGAAGCTTCAGCTTCAGGGCTTAAGTGACTTTGTAAAAACATTTCCCTAATTTTCACCCCCCACAATAGAATGATAGAATAGTTGGGAGGGACCACAAGGATCATCTAGTCTGACTATTTATCCCGTGTGGGACTTGAACCCATGACCCTAAGATTAAGTGTCTCATGCTCTATCAACTGAGCCAGTGTGGTGTAGTGGTTAAGAGCGGTAGACTTGTAATCTGGTGAACTGGGTTCGCTTCCCCGCTCCTCCACATGCAGCTGCTGGGTGACCTTGGGCCAGTCACACTTCTCTGAAGTCTCTCAACCTCCTTCACCTCACAGAGTGTTTGTTGTGGGGGAGGAAGGGAAAGGAGAATGTTAGCTGCTTTGAGACTCCTTCGGGTAGTGATAAAGCGGGATATCAAATCCAAACTACTACTCTTCTTCTTCTTCAACTCGAAAACTATAAGGCATAGGAAATTTTTATTCACACCAGCGACTTTGACATGTGAGATAATCCAGTACAACAATTTTAATCAAAATCAGAGGTAGCAGCTATTTTTTCAAAAATGTGGTGCTCTGTTGTGGAACAAACCCACACAATAAGATAACAGTCATTACCCAGACCTCATTGCCAGTTGCGAAACAATTCAAGTTTCAGGGCCCCCCAAATGTAGATCTGCCACTGACCACAACTCTATCAAACATAATTCATTTTCCTGGACCTAGTTTGAATATCTGTAAATGGGAGCATAAGCTGTTCTCAGCAGAACTTTAGACAGCTGTGAAAAGTTCTGGAGCTGTCTTACATAATTCTCAACACTAGAACAGCATGCTATTGAACATACAAATCACACAAAGGTTTTTCTCATGTTGTGAACCAACTAACACTTGTGCTTTTTATTTCCACTTCACATGATTGGCTACTGCACCAGGTGATGGTACAACAGCATTGATGGAAAGCATATTTATATTTTCATCAGACATTGGCTGCTGTCTGACATAATTATATATAGCCATTTAGCATTATGAGGATGTGCTGCAGCAAGCCTCAGGCTAGCTTTGTCTTCCTCCCCTCTTCAAACACGGAGGAGATTTAGAGTGTCTAGATATAGTTTGTTACAAACTGCAGCTTCCCATTTCCTCTGGATATGGGAAATTGTAGTTTACAAGCCCCAGTTAATTCACGGTGCAGGACAGCATACCAAGATGGTTTCCCCTTTCAAATACATTTAAATAAGACCCAATGAAATCAACATAAGCACTTAAACACACTAAACCTTTTCAAGGATTGCATTGAAGATGAAGTAAACCCACCTGTGCCTAAACAGATTATCCTCTCTCCTCTTCTTGTTGAATACAAAATAAATACTCAGCATGGACTGCCTGTCTTTAACATGCAAGTCTTCAATATCCAGCTGGGAACTAATCTGTCATTGAAAAAAATTAACATTCTGTGATCTCAAAGCTAATGACTCTGGATTTCCCAAGAGAAAACAGAAGAGGACAGTGCAGGAGAGGCTGCTGGCATTTGACTGAAAGCAGAGGCATATGAGCAAGGAGGCTGGAGAGGATTCTTGGCAATGGAATGAAGACAGTGATTAAAGAGAAGCTGAGTGGAAATGGCTGCATGAAGATTTAATTACCTGTGGCTAAGGTAAGCTGGATTTGAGCACCTTCCAAAAACATATTGTGCTTGAAAAATACCCTAAGTGGTTATCCCTGATTTATCCTCCAATATTAAAACAACCTAGCAAAATCTCAACATGGTAGTCAATCTGACCTCACTGAAGGTCAACATCTACAACACTGTAGTCAATGTCAACATACAGAGGGCCACAAGGCCAGCTGGCTACCCCCAGCTGGGTCGTCTCTTTCCAGCCGTCCCGCTGCGAAGACCCATTGGCCTCTGCTCTGACGTAAATCAGCAACCCAGGCTTCAAAACCAGGGCACACTATGTCAGCAGAGCGAACTGCACACACAGAATAGGCGTGAGGCTTATGGAAGCATACTACAACTACAGATTTATTAATCATAAATCAGGACAAAGAAACATGTCTTCTCTTTCTCTGTCTTCTCAGAGAGCAGAGAAAAACAAAAGCTATACACACAATGGAAGTTCCCAGCAGACTGTGCTGGAATGTAAACAGACATGTGACACGCAACAGTTCCATGTCTTATAACTAAAGGTGGAATAGAATTTTCCAACAGTCAACAGGAAAGGGAAGAATCCTAGACAGAACCTAAAATGTAGCATCCAATTTCACACATAAGCCTAAAACAAATGCAAACTTCAGGCCTCATGCCTTAAATAGTTCTGCTATTTTAGCAAGGTGTATATGTCTGTTTGTGATGAGATTATGGTTAGGAGAAAGACAAGTATAGCCACAATGTGCTGATTCTCCTGTGGTTTTTGATACCATCAACTATGGTATTATTCTGGATAGGTCATCCTTGTTGGAGACTAGAGGCACCGTACTATATTGCACTTCTATCTGGATGGCCTGTTCTAGAAGGTGATGCTAAGAGGCCTACAGCTCAGCTCTATAACATTAATGCAATGGGACCATGTTATTTAACATCTAGCCAGTGTGGTGTAGTGGTTAAGAGCGGTAGATTCGTAATCTGGGGAACCGGGTTCGCGTCTCCGCTCCTCCACATGCAGCTGCTGGGTGACCTTGGGCTAGTCACACTTCTCTGAAGTCTCTCAGCCTCACTCACCTCACAGAGTGTTTGTTGTGGGGGAGGAAGGGAAAGGAGAATGTTAGCCGCTTTGAGACTCCTTCGGGTAGTGATAAAGCAGGATATCAAATCCAAACTCTTCTTCTTCTACATGTAACTGCTGAGTTGATGGAGAGTGAGGAATCGGTGTGTAGAAGCTGTAATGGATGGGAAGAGGGCCAACAAATGGTAGTTGATTCTAGGTAAGTCAGATGCCCTGGTGAAAGGTGGTTCACCTGGCCGGCAGAGGGTGTGTGGTAGCCATGCTGTTATGGATGGGGTTGCCTTGAAGGCTCAGCTTTTGTAGCTTATGGCTGCTGTTGAATCCCACATAAGATGGAACCAAGCCATTTCCACAGCACACAATGTCTTTTATCTTCTTAGGCTGCTGCCTCTGGTTACATCCCTTCTTGCAGTAATAGTCTGGTCACTGTTATCCATGGGCTTGGAACTTTGAGGCTGGACTGCTGCAATACATTGGAGCTGCCTTTGAAGATTTCTTGGAATCATCAGTTGGTACACAGCATGGGGCTAAGCTAGAACCAGTCACACTGAATGGATATCACCAGTTCTTAAACAGTTACACTGGTTCTATTGTCTCTAGGCAAAATTCGAAGTGCTGGTCATTACCCATGAAGGTCCAAATGTCTTGGAACTCAGCTATTAGAAGGACCAACCTTTTCCACATGATCCTGCCTGAACCTTTCAGTGACCCACCCTCCAGCTCCCCACTCCCTCAGTACCTGAGGCTAAGCAGGTGCTGACTAAGGAGAAGGCCCTAAGGAGAGTTGTGGTGACTCAGAGATTGTCTTTCCTGGTGAAGCTTGCTTGGCAAAACACTCAATATCTTTTCAGTGCCAGGGATCTAAGGAAGGAGATCCAGGTAGTTGACAACACACCAATTCAAAGAATTTGGTGGCCTCAATATCACTGGCAGAGGAAGTTTGCTTGTCCAGCTCAGTTGGGATGGCTTGATGAGGTGGGGCAGCCTGTTCCCTTGCTTTAGAAAGGCTCCTCTGGGCTGCCATATTCAGAGGCAGGCTGTCTCTAAATACTTCTGGAGGCATCTGTCTGGTCATTGTGGAAAGCAGAATGCTGGACTGGGGTGGCCACTTGATCTTCTCAGAGAAGACTCTTCTTACATTAGGTGCATGACTTTGTGCACCTCTGTTACTAAAAGAAGGCGTTGCATTGTTGAAATTAAGAAATCTAAGTTAGTCAT